AAGGTGACCCCTTACAATGTGACCATCTAGGCAGGTAACGCATTACAAGATACCATCTGGGTAGGGAACCCATTAAAATATACCATCTGGACACGTGACCCATTACAATGTAACCATCTCGGCAGGTAACCCCTTACAATATACCATCTGGGAAGGTGACCCCTTACAATGTGACCATCTCGGCAGGGAACGCATTACAATATACCAGTTGGGAAAGTGACCCCTTACAATGTGACCATCTAGGCAGGTAACGCATTACAAGATACCATCTGGGTAGGGAACCCATTAAAATATACCATCTGGACACGTGACTCATTACAATATAACCATCTCGGCAGGTAACCCATTACAATATACCATCTGGGAAGGTGACCCCTTACAATGTGACCATCTCGGCAGGTAACGCATTACAATACACCATCTGGGTAGGTAACCCATTAAAATATACCATCTGAATAGGTGACCCATTACAATGTAACCATCTGGGCTGGTAACCTATTACAATATACTATCTGGGAAGGTGACCCCTTACAATGTGACCATCTAGGCAGGTAACGCATTCCAATATACCATCTAGGAAGGTAACCATTAAAATATACCTCCTTTTATAGGCCAAAATTGGGAACTATTGATTTGATGACTAATTGATAAGTGGGTGGCCAACTTTTGACTTGGTGACAATCCTTATCTTCTCTTGTCTGCCTAAAACGTCATTGATAACGTCAAAATTGGAGCCAGTTGCAAACATGAAAGTTGTAGGCAATTGTCTCAGCTTTCTTGTGTAAACAATTCAGCTCATTTGGACTTCTAGAACTCCAGATATGGCCAAAATACCGAACAGTGCTCGGGCTGGAAGACAGATTCGGGCTTCTTTGTTGTTGCTACAATTTGGACTTGATAATGGCCTTTTTAGATCTTGGGCTCCATATGAAAGTTGTAGGCCTATGTCTTACCTTTCCATCCATATAAATTGGACCTAAATCTGAGATCTGTAGCTCCAGATATGACCCAATTACCGAACAGTGTTCCGGTTTGGATTGCATCGACATCTCTTTTCTAAGTTTGGCCATCTCTTTATCCTTGCAATTTAAGTTCTTCAAGTCATCAATCAATCCTTTCATTTATGTGATAGGCCTGCATTAAAAATAGGCATTTACCACAAATTATAGGTATCTTATATTTTTAGATACATTATTATAAAACATATTTTAGTTAAGGAGTTATTGATATTTCAAGTGCAAAATGATGATATAAAACCATGATAAAAATGCACTTTTAAGTACTAATCACACATAACGCATTAGAATATACCATCTGGGCAGGTGACCCGTTACAATGTGACCATCTAGGTTGGTAACGCATTACAACATACCATCTGGGTAGGGAACCCATTAAAATATACCATCTGGACACGTTACCCATTACAATGTAACCATCTCGGTAGGTAACCCATTACAATATACCATTTGGGAAAGTGACCCCTTACAATGTGACCATCTAGGCAGGTAACGCATTACAAGATGCCATCTTGGTAGGGAACCCATTAAAATATGCCATCTGGACACGTGACCCATTACAATGTAACCATCTCGGCAGGTAACCCATTACAATATACCATCGGGGAAGGTGACCCCTTACAATGTGACCATCCCGGCAGGTACCGCATTACAATATACCATCTTGGCAGGTGACCCGTTACCATGTGACCATCTAGGGTGGTAATGCATTACAATATACCATCTGGGAAGGTGACCCCTTACAATGTGACCATCTAGGCAGGTAACGCATTATAATATACAATCTGGGCAGGTGACCCGTTACAATGTGACCATCTAGGTTGGTAACGCATTACAATATACCATTTGGGAAGGTGACCCCTTACAATCTGACCATCTTGGCAGGTAACGCATTACAACATACCATCTGGGTAGGGAACCCATTAAAATATACCATCTGAACAGGTGACCCATTACAATGTAACCATCTGGGCAGGTAACCTATTACAATATACTATCTGGGAAGGTGACCCCCTACAATGTGACCATCTAGGCAGGTAACGCATTACAATATACCATCTGGGTAGGTAACCCATTAAAATATACCATCTGGATAGGTGACCCATTACAATGTAACCGTCTTGGGAGGTAACCCATTACAATATACCATCTAGGAAGGTGACCCACTACAATTGACCATCCAGGCAGGTAACGCATTACAATATACCATCTGAGTAGGTAACCCATTAAAATATACCATCTGGACACGTGACCCATTACAATGTAACCGTCTTGGGAGGTAACCCATTACAATATACCATCTGGACACGTGACCCATTACAATGTAACCGTCTGGGCAGGTACCCATTACAATATACCATCTAGGCCGGTGACCCATTACAATGTAACCATCTAGGCAGGTGACCCATTAGAATGTAACCATCTAGGCAGGTGACCCATTACAATATACCATCTAGGTAGGTGAACCATTACAATATGACCATCTGGGTAGGTAACCCATTACAATATACCATCTGGGCAGCTGACCCATTACAATGTGACCATGTGGGTAGGTAACCCATTACAATATACCATCTCGGCAGGTGACCCTTTACAATGTGACTATCTAGGGAGATAACCTATTAAAATATACAAACTGGCAGGTGACCGACTACAATATACCATCTGGACAGGTGACCCGTTACAATGTGACCATCTAGGCAGGGAACGCATTACAATATACCATCTTGGCAGGTGACCCCTTACAATGTGACCATCTAGGCAGGGAACGCATTACAATATACCATCTTGGCAGGTGACCCCTTACAATGTGACCATCTAGGCAGGGAACGCATTACAATATACCATCTTGGCAGGTGACCCCTTACAATGTGACCATCTAGGCAGGGAACGCATTACAATATACCATCTTGGCAGGTGACCCCTTACAATGTGACCATCTAGGCAGGGAACGCATTACAATATACCATCTTGGCAGGTGACCCCTTACAATGTGACCATCTAGGTTGGTAACGCCTTACAATATACCATCTGGGAAGGTGACCCCTTACAATGTGACCATCTAGGCAGGTAACGCATT